GTGATTAAGTAAATACTTTGAACTATAAATAAAGAAATTTGGCTATTAACGATATAAGTTATAATTATACATAATAACAGGCAATTTTTTTTATAATAGTATTATTATAACTTTAAAGTCTAGAAATAAAATAACATTGCTTTTTATTGTTAGATAAAATTACTAAAAACTTAAAATCTTTACATTGTATTCAGATTATAATAAACCAAAAATAATGCTAACTTTATATAATCCCGGATATGAATTATAACAATGTAATCATAATATATAGGCATTGAATTGATTTAAATTGTATACTAGCATAATTTGATAAGATCAGAAAATTTATGTAAAGATTTTTAATGATCCTAGTAGAAAATATCCAAACAGATTTAGTATACCTTGAGAAGCGGAAAACCGGAATTGCCTGTGTGCCTCTTACTTCTTATCGAGAGTTTAATTAACCGGCAATCGCGGCTTTTCCACATCAAATACTCTAATACTTTGTTGGTATATACAAAATAGAAACTAATAATAGCTCAAGGATGATTAATACACAACGCGATTGAAGTCTCTCGGAGCTTTTTTATATAATTTAGTATACTCTCTTTGTCATTAAATTAATGAAACTTAGTCAATAAATTATTAAAATCGGAGATAATAGCGTCGTCATTCACGCTAAAAGCATAATAATAAATTCATACCCACTCTTACACGGAGTAGTGCAAGTTTACTTTGCTGGATAAGGAAGGTTTATAAAAAACGAAATGACATTTTCTGAAACTTATTACTGCGGATTGACTTTTCAGTGACGACTCAATCTAGACAATATAGACATCCGTTTCATTAAAATGCAAATATTTCGCTGTGTTTGAAACAGTGGTTATTTCTCTTTGATTGCGCGGAATTTGCTGGCGTATGCATATTAATCCATAATTCAATGAGCAGATAATTATATATTTAATTTAATTGAAGTATATTACTTATCTTTATTCATTTTTATCGTGTCAATATAATTGGATATATATATAAAATTTATTTGTGTTTGGTATTCGACGCTTAGTCGTTGCTTTAGTTTAATTTACAAATAATTATATATGATATAATTGAGTTTAATAATAGTTAGATTAGATTCGCGAAACAATTAGGATTGAGAAAGAAACTTATAATTCAAAATATGATTATGTTAATTTTAATCATATAATTTTAAACAGAATAAAGTTATAAAGCATTTATCAAATTTATCCATAAGATAATGGGTTATTAAAATGAAGATCATATCAAGAACGTTTTACGAATTCAAGACTGAATAGAAAATTACTGAATTTCAGTAATGTGGTGTTGTTATTGGTGTTTGTTCATTGGGGGAGAAACCCCGTTGACCTATCTCATTGCCAGGATTTTGAACAGCTCGAATTCTTTCTAATGATTAACGTCGGAGAAATTAACAAGTCTTTTTATTATTATATTTTAGGATTAAATAAACTTTTATAGTGCTTTATAACGTTGAATATATTATTGGGATATTGTTGTGTATATAAAGTGATATATATAACATATGTAATTATGTATGAATAATTTTACATTATTTGCGAAGATGTACAACGGCATATTAATATAACTGATGAGCTTATGATTTGTTGAGTTAGACATATATTAATGCGTTTCTAAAATTTTATATAAAGATACAACATTTTTTAATCAATTTGATTTTTAATTTTACTATAAAAATTAATTTCTAAAGTTCAAGGCAAAGTTATTTACGATATGTTGCAAGCAAGCACTTACAACAGATTAATATCTTACTATTCGCAGATCAATTCGAGCTTTGATGAGATGAGTTGCATCGGTTTTACTGTGCATCCGCTGGGAAGCTTTCAATGCGGTTTGCAAATGTCACCTCGCGATTCCCAGAATGCAATTTCAATTGGAAATGATCGTTGACGATGGTAGTGAACCACATTTCCATGCAATGTAATTAGAAACGTCGTAATGAAGCTGTCAATTATTCCGCAATACATCGTTTCCATTTGTCGCGAAACAATCTTAAATGATGAATGATTGACGATCATTAACACTTTGATTTATGGATTTCTTACACGTGGCCTGAAAAATCTGTATCGCTATTTTCAAAACTATGATGGAAAGGAAGCGTGGCAAATACAATTTTATTTATGTTGTGTCTTATATAGTCATACACTATATATGTGTAAAAATCTTTGTAATACACGAACGCGCTCTATGAAAAAAATGCGATTAAATATAAAAAAAAATACAATTTTTTATGATTTTTAACGATCATATCTACATTCAGGGTATATTTCTTAATGGATGGTATCGAAATAAAAAAAAAATTTTGTATTTCTATATTTCTATATTTTCTTCTATATTTATTAAAATATGAAAGAAAATCGATTTTCTGCATATTTAAGAGAAAACGATATTTTGTGGGCCGATTTGGGGCCTTATCGCCATCCATTGTTGACTTTCTTTAAATACAGACGCTTAGGTGTTTAATATGATTAATTATAGATAAGTTTAGGTAAAAGATCTTTTTCTTCCCCAAAGATTTTTTTACCCTTTCTTGCTCTTCTTGAATATCATGATTGCTGAAAGTAGTCTCGTAGATATCAGGTATCATAAATCTCGAATATACAAATAATATACAATTCTCGCAAAGACTGACTTGTAATTTGATCTTTATCTTAAATTTCTCGTTAGCTTTAAAAATTTGGAGAGTTTGGGGAAAGGAAATAGAACTCATCTGCAAAAATGACGGGTTCAATCAATGGCGATATCAACATATTCTCTTAGGCCGAGTGTCCTCGAAACAAGAACATCGGCCCACGTATTTTGTCAGTGACATTACTCACGGCCCACTAAACGTGCCTTTCTCGTTTGCACAGCCGATCGCGTTAAATTACCGCGTATCACGAAGAGACTGCGGCAATATTCGCGTATGAAACTCGAGTGATATTGATACATTTCGCTTTGTATCGTCCACAGAATTGTCGGCTGCTCTTGTAAAAAAAAAATTGGCATTTCTAAATTCTTCAAATTTGACGATTGTTTAACATTGTATCGTTTCATGCAATGTTCCGTGAAATTTCTGCACTATTGAAATACATTGACGTGTCACTTCCCGTTAAATGTCAAACTCAATGATTTTAAAATAGTACGTAGTTCAACGCGATATTTCAATTATTTTTATGTTTACTTTGCAATAAAAATAGGAAACCCGTCGCTTTGCCTACCGATATTATAATTTTATAGCTAGCGCAATCAAATATTGAAAATTACTTAAATCTAATTTAATTAAGCGTTATAGAGACCTTTTGGTAGTTATCGGTACATTTATCAAAAAAAAATTTTAGAATTAAAATAATTAAAGCAAATAATCAATGCAATAGCATTAATTATTTGCTTTAATGCTATTGCATATATAATTTGATTTAATGCTATTGCATATATAATTTAATTTAATGCTATTGCATATACAATTATAACTACAGAAAAGTTTGTGATAAGTATTTAATAAGCTTACGTGCATTAAACATATATTTGGAATTTTGTGATATTTTTATTAAGACACGTGTTAAAGTAGTATATGATGATTTTACAAAATCTCTTACCGATTATTTTAGCATACGTTTTACCGATTAATTATTCTCATTTAATATATAATATATATCATGTTATTTTGAGAAAAAATGTGCAAGCATCCATGAATTTCTGTCTACACTTGTCTCTTCAAGAGTGAGAGAGTGCAAAAAGTTGAACGCAAGCCCGTTCGTCTCGATTGGCATCGTTTCATTCCATCGGTTCTCCGCGTTGAGGACAAATAGCCTAGGTCAGGCATTCGTGACGTTATGTGGGTCAAAGAACCAGTTCAACAACTGGGAACGATCGCGTACGACAGACCGCCTGTCGACGCCGGCCTGGTGACGTCACGCGACGCTATTCTCGGCAACGCCGACGCATTTGCCGCGGCTAAAAATAAGGACTGCGACGGCCGAACAGGCAAAATAACGACCGACTAATGAGATCGGCCTATTCACTTTGCTGCAGTAGTGACAATAACAACAACGGTCATTGCACGCTTGCGGTTTTGTTTCTTAATCTAAAGTCCAATTCGGAGACGGACGAATGCGAGGATGAACATAGATAGCGATTAGTAATCAGCAAGAATATAAACGAGACAAATTGACATATTTTAATTATCAGATACATATGTATAAATTATATATTTATTAAATTTATATATATATATAATTTAAGAGGTAATATTATAAAATTATTTTATTATGCAAATTATTAAATATTGTATCCAATTTAAGCTTTATGCAGCAGCAAATAAATATGTAAAATAAATTTCTCTCTTTTATAATACTCGACAAATCTATAATAAGCGACATTAACAAGTTTTTTCAAACAACATTGCGTTGTCATATAATTTATACTACAATTAATATATGCCACAATTTTTGTAAAAAGAAATGAGTCTTATACGAATGTTATACTGTTATATAATGTTGGATGGAAATGACTCATAGGATATAATACAGTAGATAATAGATAGTAATAATGATAATTTGAATAGCACATATGCGCCTCACTATTGCACTATTCGATTAGTTACGCGAGCTTAATAATATAGAGACATTCTCCTTGTCGTTCCTTTGATCTCTAAATAGTTCCGGTCGACAGGTCTCCATAGACATAGATATGCGTATTCCTTCGTGACTGCACATTATTTTTACAAACACAAATGTCGATACAGATATGCATATGTAAGATTGCTACAGAATGTTAAAGTTTGTCATTAAAATAAAAACGACTTGTAATACGGAGATATGTGTATATATGTAACAAACAGATATATAAAACTTACTAAAGTTATTTAATATAATAATGAAACCATTGCGTAAAATTAGATAACATTATAGTTATCATTATAGTTAACACTTACGAAAAGTTTGCGAAACCAGTTAGTAATAATATCGTCATATGTCTGTTTTCAGAGTTCGTGTCGAGTATTATGTGAACGAAAATACATTCAAGGAACGGCTGCAGCTGTATTTCATCAAGAATCAACGTTCGAGTAAGTAAAAATTCATTATTTGTGTTTATAAAAAATTTTAATTTTTATATATTTTAAATATAAAGAGAAGTTTTTTATGGAAGATTATGATAAATACTTTTTTGAATGTAATTACTAAATTCTTTAATTGGATGTGTAAAAATCGAAATAAAAAATATTAATTGTACTGAAAATTGACAGCAAATCCGTTTACAATATTTTAGTTTAACAAATTGATGTTAAACAATTTTTTTTATATACATATATGTATATATAATCATAGAAGTCTTAATCAAATTTATATTTTGAGCAGTTTTGTTTTGTGCTGCGTTGTATTTCTGAAAGATTCCTATCGTGATTATTATAAAAAAACTATTTGCTATGATTTATGCATGATATTACGTACTAATGTATCAATATATTTGATATCACATATTTCATAGGCATAGGAGATCCACCGCTGTAAACTCATATCTATGATTCTATATCGTGCTATTTGATAGCAGCATTATTTTCTGTACTACATCGTAATACGCGAGATATGTAGCTGTGTGATTAAGATATGTTACGTTTCTACTATATGTTATACATAGCTTTCCCAAATTTTTCACTTAATAAAATGGATTATAATTATATTAAACATTATATAACATTATATAATATACGTTTATTATCAAATTTTGGAATATGTTTAGAGTACTGAATTTTAAAAGTAAAATATAATTAATAAAAAAGACAAAGAAAAAGATGTGTCTAAAAAATGTTTTAGAGATAAATATCGCGATACCCTGGGGATAAATTCCAAGCTTAACTACATTACTTCCCTTTTCCCTAATATTATATTCTTGCTAAATTTGTCGCCGTTTTATATATATATATAATTTAAGAGGTAATATTATAAAATTATTTTATTATGCAAATTATTAAATATTGTATCCAATTTAAGCTTTATGCAGCAGCAAATAAATATGTAAAATAAATTTCTCTCTTTTATAATACTCGACAAATCTATAATAAGCGACATTAACAAGTTTTTTCAAACAACATTGCGTTGTCATATAATTTATACTACAATTAATATATGCCACAATTTTTGTAAAAAGAAATGAGTCTTATACGAATGTTATACTGTTATATAATGTTGGATGGAAATGACTCATAGGATATAATACAGTAGATAATAGATAGTAATAATGATAATTTGAATAGCACATATGCGCCTCACTATTGCACTATTCGATTAGTTACGCGAGCTTAATAATATAGAGACATTCTCCTTGTCGTTCCTTTGATCTCTAAATAGTTCCGGTCGACAGGTCTCCATAGACATAGATATGCGTATTCCTTCGTGACTGCACATTATTTTTACAAACACAAATGTCGATACAGATATGCATATGTAAGATTGCTACAGAATGTTAAAGTTTGTCATTAAAATAAAAACGACTTGTAATACGGAGATATGTGTATATATGTAACAAACAGATATATAAAACTTACTAAAGTTATTTAATATAATAATGAAACCATTGCGTAAAATTAGATAACATTATAGTTATCATTATAGTTAACACTTACGAAAAGTTTGCGAAACCAGTTAGTAATAATATCGTCATATGTCTGTTTTCAGAGTTCGTGTCGAGTATTATGTGAACGAAAATACATTCAAGGAACGGCTGCAGCTGTATTTCATCAAGAATCAACGTTCGAGTAAGTAAAAATTCATTATTTGTGTTTATAAAAAATTTTAATTTTTATATATTTTAAATATAAAGAGAAGTTTTTTATGGAAGATTATGATAAATACTTTTTTGAATGTAATTACTAAATTCTTTAATTGGATGTGTAAAAATCGAAATAAAAAATATTAATTGTACTGAAAATTGACAGCAAATCCGTTTACAATATTTTAGTTTAACAAATTGATGTTAAACAATTTTTTTTATATACATATATGTATATATAATCATAGAAGTCTTAATCAAATTTATATTTTGAGCAGTTTTGTTTTGTGCTGCGTTGTATTTCTGAAAGATTCCTATCGTGATTATTATAAAAAAACTATTTGCTATGATTTATGCATGATATTACGTACTAATGTATCAATATATTTGATATCACATATTTCATAGGCATAGGAGATTCACCGCTGTAAACTCATATCTATGATTCTATATCGTGCTATTTGATAGCAGCATTATTTTCTGTACTACATCGTAATACGCGAGATATGTAGCTGTGTGATTAAGATATGTTACGTTTCTACTATATGTTATACATAGCTTTCCCAAATTTTTCACTTAATAAAATGGATTATAATTATATTAAACATTATATAATATATTGATATATATTCTAAAATTAATTATACGTTTGTTATCAAATTTTGGAATATGTTTAGAGTACTGAATTTTAAAAGTAAAATATAATTAATAAAAAAGACAAAGAAAAAGATGTGTCTAAAAAATGTTTTAGAGATAAATATCGCGATACCCTGGGGATAAATTCCAAGCTTAACTACATTACTTCCCTTTTCCCTAATATTATATTTTTGCTAAATTTGTCGCCGTCGGAAATAGCCGGATTGTCGTCGACGTTCTTCCGGCGTATCGCAATGTAGTCAGTCTTGATTGCTTCCTTTCGAAATGGCAATGCCGTTGCGAAAGGCAATTGCAAAGATATCGCGGCCGTCATTCTCGCAGATATCTCGAAAGAGCACGATTGTGCTCCTTCAGGGTTGATGGCGATAGTCGATAATAGATATTGTGCCATCACAAATTTCTCTTACCTGACCTTTGTACCTGACCTGTGCATTAGGACGTCGTGAACCCAACAGGTCAATGTTTTGTTGCTCTTTGTGGAATTTGTCGTGGGCAATTGGTTAAAGCATCTTGTTAGAACCACCCGGTCGATCGATATCCGGTCTAAGCGTAAACCGGTCTTTAATTTGATTCTCTGGGAAACCTTAGTATATTACATAACTTTTAGGCTTATAATAGCATAAATTGCAGTAAATATTCGTTATTATGTTAAATTCTTTATTATATTGAATATATATATATTCTTTGTATATTAGTTTAAATTTTATTACACTAAACTATATATTTGATAATATATTTATAATAAATTTTATATTACTTAAAAATTTTTTTAAATTATATAACTATATAATTTTATATAATAAAATTTATTACACTAAATTAGAATAAATTTGAAATATTTTGAATTTATAAATAAATACATTTACAAAGTATACGTTTTTAATCGAGCATCTCTTTCGTATATGGAAAATCGAGAGCTAAATTTAACTTGAGAATCGAGAAAATTTTGAGAATCTCGATATATCTTAAAAATATTCATGTGTGAAGGAAAACTCCCAATATGCTGTCAAGATATTTATATAAAGAATTTATTGATTGATAAGGTGATATAAAGAGTGCTTTATATCTTTTTAAAGTCCGTATAAATTTAATATGTAAATTGAAGCCTACTTTTTATATTATATCTTGATACATAAAAGACAAAATAAAAGGAAGAATGTTTGTAGAGATTGTATACTTAATAAAAAAAAATAATTGAATAGAAAGTTACAACAAAGATGTAAATTAAATGAAAAATTGAACTTATGTTTCAGGCTTGAGGATACGACTTGCTAATCTCTTCTTCAAATTGCTAACATGCTTCCTGTATATATTCAGGGTTATTACCGACAGCGACCCAACATTCGCAGCATGGTAAGTTACATTCAATGCCCGAGTGAGTTAAAATGTCCATGGGGAGTCCGGAAACGTGAGCTTCATATCGAACTTTTTTTTTTAACTATAGAAACAATCTTTTAAGTGAAAACCCAAATATCGCATTTAATGATGCTATTAATTTATCTTGTCATTTTTATTAAAAAATACATTTATATTGATAAAGAAAATAAACAAATTTAAAAAATACAGATAATCTGGAATATATTTTAGCATAAACGACCACTGACGTCGAAAAGACAGTAATTGTTTTATTTGGTTTCTTTCCGTTTCATCGTCGACGTAGTTATCCGGGAAAATTTTATTTTTACAAAGAAAAACTCTTTTCAATGTGCAGCAATGTAAAGTTCATGCATGATTATGCATATCATGCTGCGCTCCTAACATGGCTGAGAATAAGACGCACAGATAAGACTGTACAACGAATATGATGTAGCATTGTTATTTGCATATATAAGGATACCAGTATTCTCAATAGAATTTTTTGATATTTTTCTACATTTCTTAAAAAAAAAAACTATATCATTTATCCTGCACACGCCTTTTTCTCGTAAATAATATTTAATAAATATAAAAAAAAGATATAAATATAATTTCTTTATCGAAAATTTGATACAAGAAATAATTTATTGCAAGGTTGTAATTTTTATCATTAGATATCTAAATTCTAAATTATATAAGTCTTTGTAAGTTCCTGTTGTTTGAAACTTTGTGATGAAAAAGGACTCTCATCGTCTCCGTTGATATTCTTTAATGTAAATTTACCAAAATCTCTTAATACTCGAAGAGTAACTTCATGATTAAGCTTCCGATCAAATTTCCGTTAAGGAGTTATCGATTCCAAGCTCTCCGAGGAAACTGTCACTGACAGGGGAATGGCGATCTCAATGAAGCTCTCTTATATATGCAAGCATATATAAGAGCTCCACATATTGGTGCAGAAATTTTAATAGAAAATGTACGTCTCGATTCGCCTGAATATACCTTTTTCATCGCATTCGGTATTGCGTTCTTTCTATTCTTTCCGCAACGGTGATATTTGAATCCCCGATGCAATCCAAACGACACACTTGATATCGGAAACCTATCGAGCTCGTCCGATTTGTGCACGCAAATATCGCGCGACAATCCATGTCCCTCTCTATCGGCGTACTCATCACTTATAACTTTTCTCTCTAGTTACGATTGCATACCAGGCAACAAGACCGAGTTTCTCGCGTCTCAAAACTTGACGGAGGAGGAGTTTCAGGACCACCCGACCATCAATTGGGACGCAATTCTCTGGGTCAGAAGACCCCTAGAGCTGTGGGTAGTTCAAGTGATTTTGGCGATGGTGTCGTTAACTGAGGCCTTGCTACTCGCTTATCTCGGTTACAAGGTACGTTATCTCTTTATTTATAAAGTAATTTTTACTCTTTTTTATTCGACATTTTGTCGATTGTTATCTTGACACGCTCATTAATTTATTGACTTGCTTCGCGAGGAATTTTATGGTTGTACCATTTCTTCTCTCAAATTTTATTTTTTTCTCGATTTCATCAGATGTTATGTTAAAATATAAAGAGCAAAATTGCCATTGTTTTATATATTAAAATTAATTTTATTTATATTTTAAATTTATGTTTTATTAAAATAAAAGACAACGCCTTTTATAAAACCATAAAGCTCTTTGCACCTCAGATAATCTTACGTAGTTTTAATGCAGTTTTAATTTAATAAAATGAATAAAATCTATTCTTTCTTGAATTATAATAAATATTTTGTCATTTTTATATGATATATATGTATGTATTTCCATATAAGATATATGTATACCTGCATGGTGCGTGTGTGTGTTTCGCATGAATAAGTACGATATGCGCTTAACCAAATTCGCTATGCTCTTCTTCGCCGTTCTGCAATCTCTGAAATAAATTTAAAATATATGTGAAATAAAGCAGATTTTTTTTTTATTTTTGTAAATGCGTCGAATATCGAACTGATTTATTCAAAACATAATTTACGGTTCTATAATTTGGTATTTTAAATCGATTGAATACGTCGTATTGTGAGTCCGATGTATAATGTGATATCGAGTGTTATTTTTTTTCGTGATTTATTCGCTCGAAAAAAAGAGTTTTATCTCAATTTACCTCATATTATACAGAGTCACGCATTTGGATTTAAAAGTTTAAAAAAAATTAATTTGGAGGATTGTCGCGAAAGAAATGTCTTTGATTAGTTAAACTTTTCTCATTTGGCGCTTTTACGAATTTTTTTTCTTTTAAAACTCAAAAATTTCTTGACAGAAATTGCATTATAATAGCAAAATAAGAAGCGATCTAATAATTTGAGAGATGCTCCTATGTTTTTTTGAGACTCAAATAAATCTTGTTCTGCTTTATTTCGATTGGAAAAGTAATTTAGAAAAGAATTTGAGAGTACAGAAAAATAATATAAAAATTAAATTGTGTTAAAGTTAAATGTTTTTTCTTGTTTTTAATACATGTAGAATGTATATTACATAATAAGTTTTTAATTAATCTCTCAAATATGCAACAAGAATTGTGTAGGAATGTTTTTTAAAAAAGACGTTATTATCAATAATATAAAACTTTTTATTATTCTAATACAGATATAGAGAGATTACTTATGTAAGATATAAATATTACACATATTATTATACATATACAATATTAAAAACAAGATATAAGATTGTAAAAGAAATTTTGAAACATTTTTTTTCTATAAATTAATAATTTCTAAAGTATAAAAATAAACGATAGAAACAATAGACTTATAAAAAGTCACGTTGATATAAAATAATTATTTTATCTTACCGTGTTTTTATCCAGCGATAATTTTCATACGCTTGCGCGTGCAGAATTCGCGATAAAAATCTGTAACGATCTGTAGAAAGTTCGTCACGCTATTTATTAATCGAGCATTCCGGTGATAAGTCGACAACGTTACATCGATAACATACAAACGTATTAATAAAATGTGCCGTTATTAAACTTGTAATACAATATCCTATGGTTGCAATAAAATTTAAATATGCATGAATATTAAATCAATAAAAAGAACGTTTTGAATTTTTTTAGAATTAATTCTAATATTCTATCTAAAAAATAATCTTGTCTAATATATTATGCTGTCATGAAAAACACTCTTCAATGATCGTACAGAATGGATTTTTGTCATATCATATATCTCACTTTTTCATGTGTATTTTGTTTATCTATAGATATATTACATATTAACGACAATAACGAATATGTACACATATGTCTTTAAAATGATGTCATTTATTTGGCGATTAAAGCACTATTTTAAACATTTAAAGATATTTGTAAAGAAAAATTTATATACACACATGTAATATATATTGTATAAAGAAAGTATAATATATGATTTACAAATGTGAAAGATAATATATACATTTCTAAGAAAAATAAGAATTGTGTAATAAATGCCTTGTAAATTTAAAGCAAGTTGGATTTAACTCACGAATGAGCTTTTTGTAATTTTGAAGTTCCGATCATCGAAGTCTTCGACAGACGCAACGATTGTTGAAATCTTCGCATGGTACTCGTAAAAATATTTATCTGTTTTCCATATTTTTACAAAGTTATTTAATTATTTAATACAAAATAATACACACAAATATGGATATAAATAAACACACTTTCAGTAGAATTATCTATAATTTAAAGTATTGTTAATAATAACCAAGAAAAAAGCGCTCGCTTGATACATGGAATAATCAGTATTTTATTTCTGTGCGAAAGAATAAGTAAGATTGTACAATTAAAAGTATTAATATTCTATATTATTATATATAAATTCTGACATCTCTTGGTGTGTCTTACATGCAAGCATAAGGTGGCTTTGCTGATGTTGTGGTTGCAAAAGCCACCTTGGGTTGGCAGCAACAGAGCGCTTCGAGCAAAATCGCATCAAGCTCCCTTGTTTATGAATTTAGCCACGAGTCGTAAAGGGACTCGATGTCGAAACTCCTTCGGGGGATCCGCCGGATTCTCGAATTAGCGGGGTCATACGCGGGCGCAACATCAGCGCTACGCGATGCGATGGCATCGGTCGTGTCACGTGTAATCGCGGGTCCATCATCCCGCAAGGGAAGTGGATTATATAATCCGGCTCATGACTGATTATAGAACGTTCCAGATATGCAGATTGTCGCGCACGTTTGCCGTTCTCTCCGGTCGCCTCTCGTTCCCTTCCGTCGCGTTGGCTTCCGCCATTCCCGTCATTCTCGATTTGCAAAGTTTTAGAGTCTTCTTTTACCGGATTCCGGGAGAAAACGGAGGCGTCGCAAATGGATTGTAATAAAAAGTCGTCGTTAACTGCATGACTGCGCTCCGGATTACTTTACGTTCCATGGCAAAATTAGACAATTAAAGTTGAGTATTGCGTGAATTCACTCTACTGTGAATTCATTTCACTAAAAGCAGATTTTTAAAATCCATTTCAAAACCAATCTCTAAGTATAATGTGCGATGACGTAAATTTTCTTAAATTTCTTTGCGCACGTAGATACGATAAGAAACAGAAAAAGAAGAATTATATGTATATTCACTTCATCATTACTCAAATTTTGAAAGTTATTGAATATTAAATAAGAACTTTTCTTCTTTCATTCGTTTAAAAACAATAACAAATAATTTTATTGAAATTGAACATTATACAAATATTTAATTATGCTAATTTATTAAAAGATTATTTTCCGCGACTTTTCTCGAATCTTTTTTATTATTAAAAATTGCATTACAAGAAGCGTTTCTATCCCATATACTAGATATGAAAAATCTAGTTTCTAAGCTATCAAAATGAAGTCGAACAGATATTAAATTCATACTCTGTTCTTTTTTTGTTAGTGTATTATCTTAAATTGCATCCGTCAACACATAACCGCTAGTTTATAAATCCCAAAAGCGGATATTAATCGTTATGGAATTCTCAAAAAGATTTATTCAGCTATCGTCTGGATGCAGTCTCTGCGAAACTATAAACTATATATACATTTGCGTTTGATACGATGAATAAAAAAAACGCGATCTGCTTGCAGAGACTCTTTATTAATAAAAGTATCTCACAATCAGTGCATCTCTGCTTTCCCAATATCCTAGCACTATTGATGCCTTATTGCAGCGCAGTCGTCGCATTGTCAATTTCTCTTTTAAGCACTGATGATTTCTTTTCATAAGAAGATGAGAAGATGAAAACATATGGGAAAGAATAATGCAAAGAATTCAAGATTTTTATTTGTAATTAATTCATAGGATCAAAATATAATATCTTATTAAATAATATTAATATAAATGGATAAGTACATATTATTTTAGTCATTAATAGAAAAATAATAATAATAAAGATGTAGTATTATATAAATATATTGCTTGGCTATCAATTAGATTAAAATCAAAATTATCTTGAATTAGAATTTTCTCTGAGCAAAAAGGATATGGAGATTTTTTAACTCTAAGCACACATAAAGATATAAATTTTATGTTAATATTATAATATAAATATATTTCGGAAACGTATTAAACAGATTTTAATTAATCAAACATTTTTTAATCAAGTCAATTTTGTGCTATTTATTCATATTTTACATCTTCTTAACTTTCTTACATATATCGTCTTTTTGTATTTTTAGTGGTATTAAAAACTGCTGAATAGAATTATTCATTTCCACGCTTGTGTATAAAAATGTAGTAGTCCATGTAATATTAAAGACCAACGCATCACAAAAGAAAAGCGTCAGTAGGGTGGCGTACAAGATTTATGTTTTTCTTGAGATTCTTTGCTCGCACCTCCGTCTCAAAGGCTTTGTCTGCAACATAGCGACGGTGATTGCGCTCGGAAGTTGATGCATCTTGAAGTCAATATAGAAAACAAGTTACACAAAGTAGATTACAATAAAGTAATTTTTGTAGATATAGGAAAATTGCTTTCGTGAGGTTTCAATGTAACATACATTTGCATTTAAAATATAAACAGAGTGAACAAAATTTACGGAATTTTTTTATTATAAAACTTATGGTATTTTTATTAATTATGTATTTAAATTTCTTATTTGTAACTTTAGAGAGAAAAGATTGCACTTTAACATAAATCATATTTCTCTCAAAATAAATAGTTCGCGTATACATCATTATTATTAACAGTAATACACGAACTATGCAGTTTTTATTATTAAATATGTGACGGTAACGATATGTGTAGCGTAATTAGATTGTCCGAATATATTATTTAAAAGTTTATTAAATAAAGTTAAACACATCTGTTATGAAATTTGAAACAGATATGTCGCTATAAGGGGGAAAGCAGATATGTATGAGAACCGCATATAAATGAAAATTTACCTACTCGAAGGAATCCCTCGTCAGGATACAGCAGCAGATTCTGCGATCCTTTCTTAATCGTTTGCATGATGTAGTCGAAATTGTTTGGGGTGTAACCACGCATATCTGTACACACATATGGTTAATCCGATATATTTTTTCAAAAGAATTTCAACTTGCTTTTAAAGATGCAAGATTTATAGCGAAAAAATGCGAGTTCTTTAGATTAAAGTAATCCGATAAAAATGTCGTGTACCTCGTGCGGAAATTTTTCGTTATAATTTTTTATCGTGTCGAAGGGAAGGGATTGAAGAAGAGAGAAGTAGGATCGATGATCGTTTAGGACACTTTGCGTAGCGTCATTGGTTTGATTGCATCAGACTGCAGTGGACTGCATCCCTTGCGGCTTTTATAAATTGGTCGTTCCGCTTGCAGCAATCTGAACATAACTTAATTTTGTTTATGTAAAACAAAAGTTAAGGAATTTTATATTGAGAATTTCACGAAAGTCCAAAATTTTATGCCTACAAAAGCGACATCCAGAAAAGTAATTACAATGGCATTGTAACATGTTATAATATGCATTAACAGTAGAACGTAAAAATCTAATAAGTTAATAAAATTTAATTTTTGATTAATTAATTATTTTTATTATTAAACATATAACAATATATTTTAATTAGAATAACAATTATCGTAAATTATGTCTTAAACAGATTTATGCAATAAGATATAAGTATTATATCTTAAATATTATATGTCTTCTTAAGTTGGATAATTTAAAAGAATAGAACAAATTATGTGTCTCTCTCTCAGTAAAATAAAATTCAGTGTGTTTTCAGGTTTATTTCTGTCTAAATGAGTATTTAATTATAATCACAATAGTATGCAAAATTACGTTTTCTCTATTAAATATCTAGTGTAAGGTAAAAAGGTTAATAACTCAGTTTGTACGGAAAATATATATAACGTGAAAGAAATTTTTCAAGATAATTTGTTTAGATAAAGGGAAAAAATAGGATAGCATTGTATATGTATGTCGTGAAACTAATGCATTTATTATAGATATGTTTTGCTATTTAAAAAGCTGGTAGGAATAAACTTAACACATGTTCAGTCTTTATCGTGAAGTTATAGTATGATATACGCAATGTTGATTGCTGTTGAATATTTCATGATAAAACGAGATGGTAATTAGAAAGTATTTCAAGACGCGCCATTATTTAGAATTTTAGAACGTTTGCATAAATGAATATTGTTTAATAGTAGCTGTATGCGCTGTATGCATTTCTTAAAATATAATGTATATATATTAGTATAAATTTAGATTATTTTATACAGGACAAGTTATAAACGTATTGTGATAGCAGCCGTAATGAAAACTTATCGTAGTAAATACTCCTTAATCAAAATTTTGTAAAACTTTTATTAAAGGCATTTAATATTATACACTACTTGATATAACAAGATATTAGCGCGACAAATTTAATGTTTACATGCCAGTAGTTTATTCCTTAGATATAGGTATGTACTAAAATTCGAGTTTTATACTTCTCTGATATTTATCGTTGCATACATGTTCCTCGTATTTTTTATTAATTATGATTTTTTTATTAATTTATATATATATATCAATACTTTTTAACAAAACTTACTTGAGGATGTCATTTTTTTATTTTTTAATATATTATACATATACATATATAGCCTCAAATTATTTTTAACTATTATTTTTTTAATGTTTAATTAATTATTTAACTATTTAATTTTTAAAGTATTTAATTATTTAAATTTTAAAAAGTTTTATTAAAAAATAAAAATTATTTAAAATTAATTAATTAATTAAGTGCTATTTTTTAACTATGATTTTGTTACTTTTATTTAGTCTTTATGGCAGAATATGTAAGATACACAAAATGTCTAGAATTTGAATTTTATCTTTTAATTTTTGTTTATATAAAAATTGAAATAATGGAGACATAGTTATAACATTTTATTATAATAAATTATATAAAGAATTCTAAAAGTTTTGATAAACAACATGTTAGTTTGGCGGTACGACAAGATTTGTTTTTTCTCGTAAGAAGATCCTACTGTATGTAAATATAAATGAAGATGATACTTTCTATTCTAATTAAGAACTTACTAACTATGAATGCGAAAGTTTTATCGAGATAAAAAGTCAGCCGTTAACGTCAAAGAGACGTATAATATGATGAAAGGTCGCGGTTTATGCAAAAATGTAATATGCACGTCACGTTCTCGACAAAGTGCACAGGAGAAAGTACATCGAGTCAACAGTTCCGGCGAGCTAGATGAGACGAAGAAGTTCCTGATTTGATTACGCTCGTATTCTTCGTTTCTGTCTCACGATTAAAGTTAATTAACACTGGCGCTGATGCGGTAAATTACATTTTTTATAAAGCAATCTGTAAGATATAATTCTTCCGATTAATTCTTTTAACGTTGCGCCTGTTTATTATCTATTTTTATACTCAATCGCATCGTGTTGTAAGCGGTCTTAAATTCTCCTCTATTTTAACGATTAAATAAAGTACCGAATATATATAATATATGTATAAAGTCTCTCTTTCAAAGAAATAATAATAATTAAATAAATTGTGTGTTTAACCTAATAGTAATTAATGTATATAAAGCAATGCAGTTTTTGAAATATTATGGATGAGTTGTTGACCATATGCACTCGCATGCGTACATTATTGTATATATATACACGTATGTATGTGTTTTAAACTTGTTGTTAGCCACGCAAAATGGTTTACGATAATAAATAAAAATAAACAGCAATTCAAAAATAAATCGCGTGCATCTCTCAAATTTATTAATCCGTGTTTGCTTTCATAACATTTTTACGGGATTGGAAAATGCAGGACGGCGAAGCGCACGTTTACTTTTGGAACGCTATTCACAGTTCCTACTTTGATAAAATTGTCGCTGGGTATGTTGAGCTGTCCTCGTAATGTTCACAGGGAAATGTCTGGCAGCAGCTTCTATCCTTTCACTTCATCCTGGAACTGGTCAACACAATCCCATTTACAATAACGGTAAGTTTTTAAGGGAAATTTATGTGTTTTTAATTCTATAAATTTTTGGAATTTATTTTTATTTTATATACAAAAGACAATGTATATTGCTAATGATATAAAATTCTTCAGCAGGCTTTCATTATTTTTACATTAAATGTTGTACGCTTGCATATAAAAAGTTGTAAAACCGCTGATACGCTGAAAATTTTATATATACACACAATTTAATATAAATTAAAAAATATACAAAATAAAACTATATATTATTACAAATTTTTAAAAATAATAATTATATAACGTTTCTGATTGTCTTTATAATAATTAATTTTTATTATATTTATTTCTAGCATGTATTATCTCTGTTTATTAATATAAAATAATCTTAGAATTATTATACATAGCACACATAATCTAATTGATTATGGTTATTGGGATCGGTAATTAGAAACTAACATGATATAAAAAATATAGAAAAAGGTTTAAAAGTAACATATATGTATATTAAAACATTTCCTCGGGAAAATATACACAAACCTTACTCGCGACAAACTGTGTACGGTTATGATGTATCGATTTTTGCATGTCCCATAGCGAATAACCTTTATCTCACAGTGGACAGTACGTAACGACGTTACGTGCATTCGTTATTGCGCTTGAAAATTAAACTAGTTTAACCTCATTAATTATGGATTACGCAGTGTTATTCATATGTAAACTAGTTATATAAGTCGATAATTTAACTCTTCTTTAAACGTCTTCAATATGATAAAAATGTGAAAGATATATTTATTAAAAAACTAAAGTAATCCTAAAATAATATAATAGTATTTATAAGAAGAACAAATATCACTCACAACACACACGAATTAACTTAAGATTGCAACATAAATAATATTACATTCTTAGATTCTGCTTATTATATTTATTTATTTAATATGCATTTAATATTAATTATTAAAGTAACAAAGATTTTTATAATAACATTTTCTTAATTGAACATACGCGAAAATCAAAGAAATTATTTTAAAGAAAATCAATCATACATATGCAAGAATTTGTTTTGTAATTTCTCGAACTCTATCTTTGATATTTTTCAAACTTTTAACCTGATGAAAATACGAAAAAAAGAATTTTTTTTAAATGTAGCATATTTTTTTTTTTTTTTTGACTTATATTAACAATATAATTTTGTTTTTCATAAACGTGATATATGCACACAAATATCACATTTTATTTTTTAATAAAAAATTAATTTATAAAACAATGAAATTGAAACAAATAATTTAAAACATAAAGCTATTTTCTTGAGAAATTAGAACACGATTAAACAGAGCGAATCGATTTCGCAACAAGTTTGCAAAGCATTAAATATTCAATATGTTAATCACAATTTATAACAGACGGAAATGATAAACGTGTAGATAGTATAATTGAAGATATTGATATATTATGTTCGCAGTTATTATACCCACCAATGAGAAATTTGTTTATTCCGGTGTTCTTAAACTGCTGGTTGGCGAAACACTCCCTGGAGAATATGTTCGTAAGTAGCTCGCTTATGCTGACCGTATATTGTAATTAATGTCAAACTTAAAAAACAATGTTAAAAAGGTGTTTCTTGCTTTCAAGAGAAATGAAAAAATCTTTGAAAGATTTATCTTAATGTTTCGAGTCAACTTTTACGAGTCTACAATCATTTTTTCTATTATTATTAATATATTTTCTTTGTGAATTTTAAATGGTTTTTTTATTGCCCTTGAGGACGACAAATCGTCTTTTTTAAATATTATTCTTTGATTCACAGTCAATGTAATTGTTAATGATATTTCAGAACGATCTACACAGGGCGATGCAGAAGTCCCAATCGGCATTGAGTCAGCAGCTGATGATCCTTAGTGCTACGTTACTGTGCCTTGTCTTTACTAGGTGAGTACTTTCAAATAAAATGATTTGTTACATAGTTATACTTTCAAGAATATATTGTTCCAAAATTAAATAAAAATGATTATTATTACATATAATTAGAAGATTTTAATTCACGTTCTCTCATTTTAATATACACTCTATATAAGTCACATAATTTCAAACATTTGTATTTAAAAGATTGTAGTTATTTAATATCCCAAGATTTGGAACTGATAAAAGGTTCTAGACAAGTGATATGGCGACAGTTTTAAAGCATTGCGTGGCAAATCTTAAAAGATTTATACATTATATACATATATGAATATATTATATAAGAATGCAGTTTTTACAAACATTGTTTTCCGTCTGTTCTTGTTGTTTACTGAATGCCGTTGACTGTTTATTGAATTAAAGTCAACATTTACTTATTGCAGCAATTATGGCCAAGTTTCTTGGACGATATTGTTATAAGGAAATAAACTTTAGTTAGTCAATGTAAATGTTTGGCACACCGTTAGACGTCTAATTATTAAAGTTTTATTGTGATAATACACGTATAAATTCGATATGCATTTGCATACTTGAATAATTTATGTAACTCAAGAGAGAGAGAGAGAGAGAGTTTGATTTCATATTAATTAGCAGTACCATTTATGTAAATGTAAAAAGAACATAATTGTAAAACAAACATAATATATAGTTAATATCTTTAATTTTAATATTGCCAAAATTTTAATTTTTTATTTAATTTTATAATTGTTACGTTCGGACTCAAGGAGAGAAGAGTCAGGGAAAAGTCGCTTTTATTCTGTCAATAGACCGTTTGCTCGGTGGTCCCTTTTCAATAAAGGAACTGAATCTTTGTTACGCAGGACGGGATCTCGTAGGATTTTGAAATTCTAGAAAAAGAACGGGTTAAATGAACTCGAATTTGAATTACTAAAATTTATATTTATTTATTTAAATTTAAATGGGATAATACGATAGATTACAATATTTGATTATTATTATCGTGGTTACACATTTTATATTTCTATTATTTAATTTATGTATGTATAAGTGTGTAATTGAGTAAATGTGTTTCTCGCATATGTTACAATCGTACGCGAGGCATCAACCAGAACTGGAGAGGGAGATCTAAACTTTAAGTTCTGATTGGTATTTTACAATAAATAGTTATTTTAAAAATTATATATAAAAAATGTGAGAGGAAAAAGGAATTATGGTTTTTCTTTAAATTGAATAGTGGAGGGAAGAAATTTCCTCCAGAGCGCTTGGATAGGTATACCATGGTATACTGGCGTAAGGTGGGTTTTCGATGAGGACCTTATGGAGTTGCTCTAGGTCAACAGGACCGAGGCCTATACAATATACGCTCTCAGAAATAGGCTAGTCGAGAGGGAGGAATTGTTTTAAGAGATACCTGAAGAGATTCTAGTGGGACTCCTCTTCACGATTATTCGACTCTTTTTCGGAATTACTTGATTTCCCTTCGAAATCCTGCGATCGAGGTCAGGTAACTCATTTGCGAAGTTGTTAAGTGCTTCCTCAAGATTGTACGATTCTCCTTGAAGATTGCTCGACTCGTGGGGAGGAAGAAGAGGGGAAATTATCAAGAATAATCGTGGGCAGGAGAGAGTAATTTCGACGAGGACTGTAGTTGGTGGAAGGAAGAGGGAGAGTAGGAATCCTTAAAGGCTGAGAATGGTTGGAGGAAACAGAAGAAAAATGTTTAGAGGAGGATATAGATGAAAATTAAGAACTAAGTGAGGGTAAGAAAAAGGGAGTAGAAATTCTTGAAGGCAGAATGGTTGGAAGAAGCAGAGGAAAAACATTGAGGAGAGGATATAGGAAAATAATTAAGAGTTAAATTAGGAGAAGAAATAGAGAGAGGTTCTGTATTGTGTGTTTCGTGTAAATTAACTAGAGGGTTTTTAACCGTGAAAGAAAAGAATCAGCATCTAAGTTAAGTCTTTTATAATCTATTTTGATGCGAGGATCCGCGAACGCCCGAGCCAGGAGCTTTCGAATAAGTCGATCTTGATGATTCCGAGCGTGTTTTGCCCGCGTACTTAAACGTTTCGCTGAGATTATTTCCACTGGGAAACCCACGCAATGATTAGTAACATGTTAAGGTTAATCAAAGGAAACAGCTTTAATTTTGAGTCGAGTAAAGTAATTAAATAATCAATGAAACAAATTTGAAAATATTGGTGTAATAATCTTAATAATGAGAGTTACTATTATTACTACCAGGATGGAGTTAATGAAAAAAGTTCTCGTGGGTCTGGACGCCAAACGTGACTGCTAACCCCGACATTAAATTAGGTTCTGGACGCTAGTCACACTTGCTAACCCGCGTTTAAGAGAGATATAATTGAAAAGGTCAATATTTATACAAAACAAAATCAAAAGGAGCAAAAAAAGCAATTAACGGATGTCAGTAACATATAATCAAATTTAAAAAACAAAAACCACATTTAATAAATTAAAGAACTAAAGCACTACATATAAATTAATAAAATCTGACTTATAAAAGTCACAATTAAAATCAAAATTATAAAATATAAAGGACAGGCATTTCAGTCCTCCATTGGTCTCTCTTCAGTGTTAAAAAAATTAAAAAATAATAAGTTATATGATAGCAAGCGGTCAAAGAGTAAAATATATAAAATAAGTCCCATTTTTGAGGAAATTAATTGAAGACTATTCTAACAATCTTGAACTTTTAATCGATTATTATTTATAATAAATCGCTGCGCATTCTTTTGATTTGGTTAAATAAGTTATTTAATTATAAAATAAATGCGTATACGTTCTATTTTTTCATATTTCTCACAAATTTTGTAAAAAAAATACATATACACGCAATGATAGTAGCATAATTATATCAAATTATTGGTTAAAATTGTGTTAATTGAAAGATGAATTACGGTTATGTAAGCTTAATAACAATAAACATTATAATACTTTAATTGTAAATAGATTCACATTTGAAAGGATAATATTAAATTGACATATGTGTCCACGCAAATATCAATTTTGCTTTCCTATATTCAATCAACAATAAACCGCGACGATCGGTACTATTCGCTTTGTTATTAGAATGAATGAATTACGGTAAATTGTCGCGCCCGTGACCATTTCGTATTTCTCTCAATATTGCTCTCATTTGTTTTATTTGCACGTGATTTCAAACCCACGCTCACTATTTCTTCTACATATTTCGATGGAATAATTGAAATGTATGAAACAGTTCTCACACATCGCTGCGCAAATATAAAATCAGATGTGCGTAATTTATTAGAATCCAATGGAGAAGAGATGATTTTACGAATAAATTTTATATTAATTTTATGAGCAATCTAGCATAATTTTATGTGCCATATGCAGGACAGTAATTTCACAATGATCTGGTTCAAACAAAAGCTACAGTTCTAATATTTTTTGAAAAGAATCGATACTAATTCTCATCTTCTGCTTGTTATATAGATCAAATTATTAATATTTTACTCATGATGTATAGTAAACAAAATAGTAGAATGTTCTTTAATAATCTTAAAAATTGAAAAACCCCAAATTGTGACTGATAAAAATTGTTTTCTCAACAATCAGTTATTTATTTTGACCTCTCTTTACTTTGATGCAAAAATTATTTTATATATGAAATCTTATTTTTATCAAAGTAATTACTTAATATAATACTTAACATATTTTTAATTTATACAAATTAATTTTAATTATAAAATTATCGTAAATCCGAATAAAGAAGATGGTAAAATTATAACATACGTATGTAGTATATCATTATCTCAAAATATATCTATTAAATATTACGACTTTGTAAGAAAACACGCAGATAATCGTGAATTGATATTTTGGTACAAACTTGAATCATGACACCCGTAATGAAGTTTTTTCCATCATAGTATTTGCGCGTATCACTTATTTAAGTTTATATAACGAACGTATTTCATTTGCCGGTGTGCGAGACTTATTGTATTATCCGAATAACGAGGAAAGTTTCCCAGCCGCAGGAGGAGTTCGCATTTACAAATCCAGGCCGTGGATGACTGCCGTTCGTCTTGTTTAATCTTCTAATGAAGTCGTATCTATAAACGACGGCACAGAGAAAGAGAAAGAGAAAAAGGAACAGAGAGAGAGAAAGAGAGAGAGAGAGAGAGAGAAAGAGCTTAAATTGCAGAAGTAAATGAATCGTTTGCATGTGTGATCTCTCTACGATTTAAAACATCACGAAAGTGTTTGCTTGTTTTCAATGTACATTTGAAAAATTAGCAAAAATCAAGAAGTCCTAAATGATAACAAAATGCTAATGAAATAATTAAATTTAGATAATTAAGACATGTAATTTTATAATTTCCTCTAATTATGACAAGTTTTGACAACGTTTTTTTTTATTAATTTGATAAATTTATTGAAAATATCTAGCTGTAAAACAAAGATTTAATTTAATATATTTACGGCAAATATAAAAATTAATCGAATGAACAATACGAAATATTAGCAGATACAAGAGTCAAAATTTTGAAAATTCTTAAAAATTAAGTGACGTTTTCCGCGCGCATTATTTTACGGTGAAAATGAGAAGCATTACGCAATTTGCAATATTAAAAAATTTGATATTGGCAAAAAACTCTTTTTGTATATTTACTTTCTTCTTCGAGATATCCGTATTATATAAATATGCACGCATACATACTATGATATCATTGATCTTAAATATATAATAATTCAGAATAAATTAAAGGTTTTTTTATATTATCTAAATTTTATAATGTGATAATAATTGATTAATATATTAATTTTGGATATTAAAATATCATTATGACGTATTGGCGACTTTATCTGGACAAAGATAAGAAAAAGAAGATTGATTCAAAGTAATCATCTTTACTTATTTCGTCTTTCTCCATATGATCGTATCTAAAGTCTAGATGTAACATGCAACATGCTATCTTTAGTAAAACTATAGGAATGCATACAGCTCTATCTTGGAAAATCAACTTGTGACAAGTTCAATATATTCAGAAGCGATTAAACCACGAATTGCTGCAAACAGTAGCTGTTCCTCTATACTATATAATGTTAAAAACGAGCGAGAAAAAGACGAAATAGACCTGATCGACCCAGATCGCAATGTGGGACAGATGTTAATAAATAATCGCGCACCAGCTTGTGCAGATGGATTGGTATTATCATCGATCGTGGCACTTTATTATTTACGGTGTGATTCTAGAGCGGCGCACTTGCTAGCTCGCCCTTGCACGGTTATGTTATCTACGACAAGGACGAGCGGGTAGAGTATCGTGCGCCGTGACACTACGTCACGGTGTGAGCGAATAAAGTCGTCGCACTTAAAGCTGAGATACGAAGAAACTAGAGAATAAAATGAATTAAATGTTGAAAGATATGGAGAAGCATTTAAAATTGCATTGCGATTTATTAAAAATAAAATAAAAGAATTTTAAATATCCATTTTTCTATCTTTGACATGATATATTATTTTCTAAATCATAAATCACGATATCTGTAGGTGATGAGTTTTTAAATATATTTTTTAATTTAATTTAAAAAAAATTAAGGAAGGAACCGTTTTCCTCCTTGTTCTTTGTGTTATTTATTAGAGCTTTCTTCAATTTTTTATTGTTTGAAAGAAATATTATACTTTCTGTTATTGTTATTTTTATCTGTATATATGTACTCTATGTCTAAACTGGCTGTAGTCGCGGGATTCACGCAATTCTGTTACTAAAAATGCTTAATTATTGTCTTCATCGGCGAGCAGGTCATTTGACTTTCGTGCAGCAAACGCAGTATGTACGATAAACGCTGTAGTTTCAATTGCACGCTATGCGCTGTCACATTTGCAAGCTTAACCACCGACCAGTTTCAAACAGCTTATCACTTTTACGCAACTTATTTTTTATAAATTTTTTTTTAAAATAAATTATGCTTTATAACGTTTTGCAGCTGATTCCATTATAAAATGTCAGTGCATAATAACTAGCAAAGTAGAAAACTGATTCGTAAATTTAAGTTTATTATTTTCTTTATTATTATTATTGTATTATAAATCAAATTACTTTCTATATTTTTTATTTTTTGGATATTTGATATTTTCGTATTTTGGATATTTAGATTAATTAAGATTAAAGATTTGGATTTTTTGATTAAGAGAAACATAGTCCTTTGTTTTCAAAAAATTTTTTATCTATCGAATACAATTTAAAATTTTGTTTTGTTTATAAAATAAAGTTTTGAAGTATACACAACTTTTAGTAATTTTTTTCGACGGATACTAAAGAATCCATCTCGACTACGTCATTTATTTCCGGGAAATAATGTTCGATTGAATTGGTACCGTCACACGCAGATGACGGAATTGACGAAATTCGTTAGCGAAATTCGTTGCTAACAAACAACAACACTTGGATTGAAAACGATAAAAATTTTAACTAAAATGTGTAACTTTATTATTGCTTGTTCGTACGAGAAAACGAGGCAAACTGACGAACTGAGTTTGCAGATAAAAAAATCGTTATTTTTCCTCTCGCACAGTGTAACGCTTTTTCGTGTTTTGGGCAATTTTCGTAAACGCATATAAAACAAATTTCAAAAGTGCATATTATGATAGTTCCACATTTAATTTGAGCAATTGCATAAGTATAATATATTTATTAATCAACATACAGGTTTATTTAAATTTACATGAATTTTATAACTCTTTTACTATTAAAAAGTAGCAGAGAAATTCTTTGTTCTTATTAGAAATATATAATAATGTTTGAAAATACGTTATATTATCCCTAATCTGTATTATTATTTAAATGCAATAGTTTAATAAATACTTGACAAATGGCAAGATAAGACTATACTATTACAGTAAATATTACAAAAAATTGTCTGTTTTTATATATGGTATTACATAGTAAAGATTATAATATAGATACAAAATGATTATTAATTGTTAATTATTAATTAACGTTTATTTATTAATGACGAAGACCAATTTGATCTTCAATAAAATATATTTAAAAAATGTACTGCACATGTTTATATCAAAGGTATATATATATACCTCAAATCAATATTGATGGTTTAATAGAATTGATCTATCTATTGTTAATTAATCTGAGATGAGGTATGCTCGACTATCACGATATGTCGAACGGAAGCATGATGAGGTGGCGCAGACGAATATAGAGGAAGTCAGGAAAAACGTACAAGGTGCACAAATATACACATCAATATAGATATAGAAACGAGGCCGCATGCATAATAGATGTCAGCCATTTAAACGCCGTTCGGTGTACTTGGCAGTGGTTTTCCCAGACAACCCACGGATTCAATCTCTTTTTGTTTTTGCGCCGTTACATCAATTTTCTTACAATCAAAGAACGAGGGTGCCGCTTTATCTTGCTTTGAATGATCAAGCTAATTGTGAATTCGTTTCGTTACTGCAAGAGGCTCCGAATGAAAAATTGCAATGAAAGGAAAGGATATTCTCTCTTTTGCGTCGAATAACGCAAATTTCTTCATTCTGATTGAAAGTCGACATTGGATATATTAAGCCGATGCAGTAATTTGTTACGCTAATTTGAATGGTTTTTGCAAATCTATCAAGTCATGCATTAATTGAACTGGTGATAAGAGGAACGTTTATCAATTGTAAGTTTGTCAATATAAAAGAACAATCAAAACTAACAATTAAATACTTCATTAAATGGTTGCTTACGCGAAATAATTGCTCGAATAATATTGATGAAAGTGTAATGTGGGAGAAATGTATGCGTAATAATGTGTTATTTTGCGGATCAAGGAAAATTTGATTATTCTGTTATTACGTAAATGTAAATAATATGCAATTCTCTTTCACTTTTTTTTCTTTCCTTTTTTTTTCTAAAATGCAATTAATATCCATTAATTGAACTGGTGATAAGAGGAACGTTTATCAATTGTAAGTTTGTCAATATAAAAGAACAATCAAAACTAACAATTAAATACTTCATTAAATGGTTGCTTACGCGAAATAATTGCTCGAATAATATTGATGAAAGTGTAATGTGGGAGAAATGTATGCGTAATAATGTGTTATTTTGCGGATCAAGGAAAATTTGATTATTCTGTTATTACGTAAATGTAAATAATATGCAATTCTCTTTCACTTTTTTTTCTTTCCTTTTTCTTTCTAAAATGCAATTAATATCTAAAATAATAAGCACAAAATCTTTTAATATTTTAAGTTACAATAAAATAAATATTAGATTTTAATAAAATAGATGTCACAGAAAATAAAGAAATATATGTGTACATTACACTATCCAAAATTGATAAAAAAGATAAAGAAACGCGAGAAAAAGAAAGGCAAATCTATAAAAATCTCAAAATATTTATATTTGAATAATAATTGAATAATAGCTTCTTAGAATTTATAGGGAGACTGCAATTATAAATAGTAAGAAAAGGAATTTTCTTGAAATCATTAATGTCAAGGAAAATTTGATTATTCTGTTATTACGTAAATGTAAATAATATGCAATTCTCTTTCACTTTTTTTTCTTTCCTTTTTTTTTCTAAAATGCAATTAATATCTAAAATAATAAGCACAAAATCTTTTAATATTTTAAGTTACAATAAAATAAATATTAGATTTTAATAAAATAGATGTCACAGAAAATAAAGAAATATATGTGTACATTACACTATCCAAAATTGATAAAAAAGATAAAGAAACGCGAGAAAAAGAAAGGCAAATCTATAAAAATCTCAAAATATTTATATTTGAATAATAATTGAATAATAGCTTCTTAGAATTTATAGGGAGACTGCAATTATAAATAGTAAAAAAAGGAATTTTCTTGAAATTATTAATGTTCTAAATTAAGGTTCGTGTCATCGTATCCTATCAGGGAAATGACCACCGATTCTCGACGACTTGCAATTTAATACAGGTTACATCCCCTGCAGTGCGCCATGACTATAGAAAGCGTGAATTTACGTTAGCTGCAATCCAGCAATACATAGCTATAGACGATGTAGATTTATGCTGAACGCATGCAAACTACTGCTGTGTCTCCATATATTCTCGTGGTCATCCTCTAATTAATCGTAAGTGATCCGATGAATTTTCTGTTTCAGCGTATGCGGGATCCAGCACTTCCAAAGAGCGGGGCACAGACATTTGAATCTATTTCAAAGCACGTACTACGTAGTAGTGACATTTTCCACAGTAGGCTATGGAGATTTCGTGCCGGACATTTGGCCTTCGCAACTTTACATGGTCATTATGATCTGCGTAGCACTCATAGTGTTACCAACGCAGGTGCGTATATATATTAATACATTTCTAAAAATGTGTTAAATGATAAAAAAGTCATCGATTCGTTATATTTAGTCCATCAAGTTATAATTTTTTCTAATTTTTACGCTTATTTTATTAGTCTTTTATAAGTCTTAAAAGTGAGAGATCTAAAACATTTGAATTTGATTTTATATCGCTATGTTGTGTGTATATGAATTAAACTTTGTTTTATTTGTTTAAAGTATTCAAGTTTATTGTATATCTTTTTTTTAATGCAATTGATTATGGCTAAGTCCACTCGTGACGTGCTTTCGCTGTCAGACGCGCGAGAGCCAAGGCTCGCGGCGCCGGCGTATTGCTTTCGCTAACTATGAAATATTAAATATCAAGATTATTTAAATAAATATTAAAAATTGTAGTATTAGAAGGTTTTTAAAAACTTAAAATGCCACTTGAATAATATTGATATTATGATTAATTATTGATATTATTTATGATAACGAGCACTTAAAAATAAAATAAAATTTACCATGTATATTGGAAACTTTTTGTTCGGAATTAAATTATCTTTCAAATGAGATCAAAGTGATTGTAGTTCGCTCCATAGGTTTTGAAATAAACCAGTTAATAACCACTTTCAAATGTACCGAAAAGTGTTTTTTCGGCTTTTGACAGTTATTCGAAAACCTATGGAACGAACTACAATAACTTTGATCTCATTTAAAAGATAATTTAATTCTCTACAACTTTTGTTTCGGTACTTTTT